TAGGGTTTCCTATATGTATGCCAACTGCTGCTAGTGCACATCCTCCTTTCCTCATTTCTGTTTCTGCCTGCTAGTCTTGACACACTCCATGTATGCGTAAATGTCCACTCCAAGAATGCAGTGCACACCAAGTATGCAGCATAGTGCACACCAGGTATGCAGAAGTGTCCACACCAGGTATGCAGAAATTCCTTCTCCCATGTATATTCTCCGTTCTTCCCTCGTGGTAGTGCCGTTCATCAGCAGCAACCAGTCGTACGATACCGCTCCAGCACGACGGATGACGACCGGCTGCATCCATTCTGCCTGCTCCCCCTGCCTATTGGCAACCCTTGGTGAGTAGGTCTTCCCCTTATGCTTCGTGACTCCGTGCCTCACTCCAATCCCACCAGATACACTCCACACCTCCACCTCCCCCCACCCATGTGCTTGTAGTCCTCCGCATACACAGCTACAAGCACATGAGTGAGTATGGAGTTAGGTGATGCCATGTTGTGCAGCAACGCTCAAGGAGGCCGCACAGGTGAGTACAACACCACAATCATTGACTTGGCGATCATCAGCAGATGGTACGCCCATTCCTGCACATCCCACATTGATTTCAGCATCATTGTCTTCAACCTCCTCTTGTAAAATCACTCCTGCTGCAGGGAAGTCATCTGGTGCAGCATCTCCACTTCCTTGGGTTGCATCAACTTCATCAGCTCCATGTAAGTCCTGTTTTACAGGGTCTGCTCCATCGACTCCCGAATCCATCGCGAACCGTTTTCCTTCTCCCCCTGAAGTCCACACCGCAACGTGGGGTGAGACTTCATGCTTGGTATCATCATGTGTCGGCTTCCGCACAACGCATGTTTTGTGTGCCATGCGGTATGTGACAGACGCATGTGCAGACTGGCCACTCAAGTGCACTCCAGGTGTGCGGGGATCCGTGCTCCCAGTTGCGTCCATGTGCACACCAGGTGTGCGGAAAAGGGTAACCCCTTCACGATCAACCCGATTCGATGACGCATCATCACGGGAATGTCCAGGATCATGGGCGGATGTAAGTGCATGCGCATACTGCACCACGAGCACTCTATCCACGTTCTTGGCAAGTCCAATCCGCACGTACTCCTCTCCATCAGTCATGGTGATCTCGGTGTCTCCATTAGTAATGGTATTGATGCGCGCTCCCTTTTTCAGCAGCTGACAATAGGAGAGCAGGTTACTCTTCAAGCCAGGTACGTAAAGGATGTCAGTGTACCGAACTGTTGTCCCAACAGGTGCCGTTGTTCTGATCGTTCCCGTCATCGTGCAGTGCAGTCGGCTCCCATCAGCAAGCTCCACGTATACAGATTCGTCCAGCTCCTTTAACTCTTCAAACCAGCGCTTGTTCCAGGTCATGTGCTAGCTGCATCCACTGTCCAGCAACAACGATGACACTTTAGCTGGTGGTAAGGTAGCTTGTGACGATCCCACCATTGCAATGCATGTAACAGTACGTTGCTTGTCTTCCCCGGCTGCCCCTTGCTGTTTTGACACATCGTTGTCACGCTTGGGGCTGCCACTCCTTCGTAGGAAGAACAAACGGCTGTCGCTGGTGTGCGGTTTTGCCTTTCCGCGGGTATGCGGTTCCCACCCTGGTAGTGTCTGTCAGAAGTACGAGCAGAAAGTTTAGAACAAGAAAGAGAGGTTTGCACTAGCAAGCAGTTGAGTACATATAGGAAACCCTAGACTGGGCTGTACTCGCTATAGAGTACCCCACTGCAGGCTAGACAAATACAACATTCTGACAGTGTCCAGCCAGGGGGTGCCTTGGTACACTTGAAGAAGGGATGGCCTGGCTCCTTGCAATACCAACACACGAGAGATGAGCGACCTGCATTTCCTTCCTTGTCCTGCGTTTCCTCTCCAGACTCCTCCTTCCCGTTGCTGCCCTTAGCAATTGGAGAAGGTGAGCGGTCTCCACGGGCTTGTCCAACCATGCGAGGTGGACACCGGTCACGATTAGCCTTCGTGATGAGGTCGTGATACCTCTGCTCTTGAATCATCATCTGCTGCAAGGTGAAGCTATCCGTCACGTTGTGTAGCATTGCCGAATGCCTCATCTCCTCCCAATGTGCCGGTAGTCCGATGAGCAGGTTCAAGGTGAAGGTCTCTTCATCCACCATCTTCCCGGCGAGTGCTAACTCGTCCCGAATTGTTGTTGCGCGGTTGACATATTCCTCCACCCTTTCCTCGTTCCCCATTTTCAGGTTGTCCAACTTCTTCATGAGAGAGACCTTCGCCACCGAATCTCTGGCCTGGTTAGTGTCCATTAAATACTCCCATGCTTCATAAGTCGGGCTGTAAGATTCTTGGAACATGTCTAGCTGTAGCTGAATCATGGCGCTCACGCTGTGCAGTATTGTCAGAATCCCAACCACTAGACCATTGGGATAAAAGGGCTTGTTTGTGTAGCGGGTAACTGCGCCCATAACCCCCCAGGCCAACGTGCCTGTAACCCTTCCCTAGGATCAATCGGGGATCACCAGTGGACCTCTGACAACCCCCCGCACTGGGATGCCCGAAGTGCACACACCGGGATTCGAATCCGAGACCTTCGCTCTGATACCATGTCAGAATCCCAACCACTAGACCATTGGGATAAAAGGGCTTGTTTGTGTAGCGGGTAAGTGCACCCACAACCCCCCAGGCCAACGTGCCTGTAACCCTTCCCTAGGATCAATCGGGGATCACCAGTGGACTTCTGACAAGTAGGACCAAAAAGGCGAGTGCCGCACGCTGTGAGTAATCCGCCTGTAGTATTTCCAACCGCTCCATAGCGTCGTCAATGTCGCAATGTCCCATGGTAACCGAATACTGCAGGGTCACAAAGAACTCCCACAGATTCGTGACGCTAGCGTTCATACGAAACCGTAGTGCCCACTCCCGGAAGTTGGAGCCGTCAAACGAAGTGGTGGTGAACGCCTTGTCCACCGTTGCTCCCACCATTTTCCGTGACAGCCGTTCCTTGTCTTCTTCCGTATATTTACGTGGAGTGGGGGTCGAAGAGAGTAGGCACGGTTGACGGTCGAGGTAGCTGAACCGTGCGCTGTATGTCCCCATTCTGTCCACCAAGTTGACGCTCCAGCACTTCCACTTGATCACGTCGCATGATGCCACTTGACTGCATTCCATATCCCATCCATCCCATGCTGTCCACAGGATGTACTCCTATCGGTGGACGTGGTGCACGTGGAAGTATGTCATTGCCGCCACGAAGGTGAGCCTTGGCCATCGGATGAACTCCAATGTGATGAGAGTTAGTTGCAAGTCGTCGTAGTGAGGGAGCACCAATAGTGTAGGAGGCAAAACCCACACCTTCCACGCCCACTTGACCATTTCCGTCACCCTGCTGCCCAATCTGTCTACTTCTCATTCCACCATGCACTGCACTCTCATACTCATCATGCCTCCGCCGTGCTTCCGTTTGCATGGATGATTGAGGTGCGGGATTGGCGTTCTCCTCTCTTTGGACGGATGCATCCCTCCCTTGGGATGATTCCCCTCCTTGAGGTATACTCATTTTCCCTTCACCATCAATTCCTGCATGAACATTTGATGGTTTTAATTAGTACGCGGAGTGCTTGAATGAGAGTGTCCACGGGTGGACAGATTATTAGACTCATGAGAGAACGTTGTCCTTGGTTGGATTGTCATTCCAAACTTGTCCCTTAACGAAGCTTGGAGTGCTGGTGGTGCCTTTGCAATCATGCTTTCGAGGTGCTCATGCTGAGCCATGATGGCTTCTTCAAAAGCCCGCATATCCAGGATCCACTTCGCCATCGAAGTGCGCCATGACCTTGACAAAACCGCCCACCAAGTGTGCCGTAAACGCGCGGTTGTAACCAACAGCGAACACCATGTGTACGAAAGCGTAGACCGGGTGTGCAGTACTCTGACTGCATGCAGGTACCTATCAGAAATGAATGCCAGTAAATTCTGAAACTAAATTTGGCAGCATGCCCCCTAGAGTAGCTCTGATGCCACGCTAGAAAGGCATAGTGCCTGCGTAGCGGAAACGTGTTTGTAGAAAAGAACAAGATAGAAAGCTTGCATTGATCATTGAAAAGTAGAATGATGACACAATGATAACTCAATGATGATGAAGAAGTGACACAGCAGGGTATATATGCATCCAACTACCCCTCCAGAATGACCCCATTCACACCAATAATGGTGTACCAATAATTGTACCCTCTACCCTCCAATAATGCTGGGCTCCAATAAGTGTGGCCCTACAATAATTGTGACAATTATTGTAGGACCTGGAGGCTTATAACGAGGACTACACTAAAACCAAACAGCACACTGTATTCGTTATACTGTATTCGGATTTCCAACAAAGGACAGGGTAGGGCAAGGATGGCGGGGGTTAGGGAAGAGGAATGCAAGAAAGGAAGGGCAGGAGGGATAGGGAAGGAAGGGTAGGGCAGGAACGGTAGGGCAGGAAGGGAAGTATGGGATGGAAGTTATGGGACATAGGATGGGAGATGAGATAGGAAGGAAGGGATATGACTTGGGAAAGAAGGGAATGGAGGTCGGAAGGAAGGGAGGAGAGATGGGAAGGAAGGGAAAGAGGATGAGAAGGCATGTTTCGGTGATTGAAGAGGATTCGAGGCCGCAAGGGGAGGCGTGGTCTCGAATCAGGTCAAACTGAGGCCGCGATGTCAATGAAGGCGCAGCTTGAATTGAAGGGCATTTGAGGTTATGAGGGGAGAGGAGTTTCAGATACAACGTGCGACATTGTAGTTTATGGGCTACAAAGTTATGGTTATACAAGCAATCACAACATCTCATATAAAATATAACTTTTACAAATACAAAACAAGTGTAACGCCAGAATGCTGCAGCCGAGCCAATTATGAGTTGGGACTCTATTAGCCCCCATTTCGAATATGTATGACTGGCTGAACGAGGGCCCACAGGACCATACTGGAGGGCCCCGAAACATAAGGAGGACAAGCCGCTTGGAATCAGCAGCTGAACATGGGCAGAATATTTGGGAAGCCTTTGACGAACCCGCCACCAACGAGGCCACCGGATTTCCTGGTCGACTTGGTGAGAACAGCAGTGTAGTAATCCGACACGACACCCTTATCCACGGCCTGCAGCACCTCCAGGATGGTCCCGCTGCCGCCACGTGGCTTGATCTTCTCAATGGCCGTCAGCTTGAAGTCCAGCTTGTACGAGCCGCCGCCGCCGCTCCACGGCTTGTTGATGTACCACGAGACGCCCGTGTTGCTGCCGAACTTGCCCTTTCCAATCACGATCCCCACCGGGGGTTCGGGTAACTCGCTGACCTCGGCAGTCACCTGCAGGTCGAACGACTCGTCGTCGCTGCCCCTGCGATCGAGAAACGCGCGGGAGAGAGGCACGTGAAAGTTAGAGAAAGACGGGGATGCGAGCTGGGAGGCAAGGCGGCGGAGTGGTGGCGGAAGGGCGTGGTGGAATGGTGCGGAGAGGGGAACGGCAAGCGGAATGGCACGGGCAAAATGACACAGCGAAGCAGGGTAGCGAAATGGCGTAGCGAAAAAGGACACAGCGAAAAAGCGTAGCGAAATGGCGCAGCCAAATGGCAGAGCGAAGAAGCGTAGGCGTACTTGTACTCCTTGATGGTGAGTCTGCCAGTGGGCAGCGACTTGGAGGACTTGCCGCCCTTCTTCGACTGCGTCTGCTGCTTGTCCGTCAAGTCCCAATTCGAGTACAGCACGCCTGTGAGAACGTGTGACAACGTACGACGAACCAGGGAAAGGCGCATTGATCAGTACAACGGGTTGCGAGCGGAAGGCAGCACGTAGTGACAGGGAGCGAGTTTGGAGCACGACGAGGGCGGGAAGAGTGCGGAAGAATGGCGGGAGGAGGGCAGAGATGGTTGAGCGGCGCACTCACATTTCGGTCGGGCGGCGAGAGTGAGGAGCGCGGACGCAAAGAGCAGCCCGAGGACGAGCGCGCCTGTAAGGGGGATAGGGGCGCCGAGGGGCGCACAGCGATGAGTATGGGCAGTGACGGCACTTATGCGAGCCGCAGAGAGCGGAGGAGCGAGAGTAAGGGCATCTCAGGTTACAGGCTGGAACATTTTGGTGACAGAGCGAGGGCATTGCTGTTGTCAGTGTGACTGCCGAGGATTCAGAATGATTTTGATGGAGAATTTTGTTGACGACCGCAAAGACTGACGAGATCGAGATGCATGAAGGTTGAAGATGAGAGCACTTTGAGTCAAATTGAAATTGCGATAAAATTTTTGGAGTGAGCAATCCAATCACCTTTTGGAGAAACTAGAGGAGCCATGGTGACTATGCAATGTAGGCCACGAGTATGAAACTCTTGGTGACGTTTGTAGACGAGTGACAATTGGATGGCTAAGAAGCGATGGTAGAAAATATATTTGATCTTCAGATATGGAGAGTTTTTATACCGTCTTCTGCCCCTGGAGTCTCCGGGGCCTGCTCACGACACGACACGAAGCGCGTGCTCAAGGTGGGCAGCTTGTAAAAGCTGGGGCCGCGACGAGGGCCGTGGAGGAGAGTGGAGGCACTGGTGAAGTTGGTCGCTAGATTGGGGATGGTGGACGGAGGGCGAAGTCGGGACGCGGTGGGGATGGGGTTGAAGGTGGGGGTGCCCTCGCCCGCTCTTCCGATCTTCGTGCGAGCCTGATTTTTTCTGGCACGAACATCGCTGCATTGGGATGGGAGGGGCAGAAGCAGAAATGCCTGTGACTCGCTGGGGGATGTTCGTGCGCGACGTGGAAAATTTCCGAAGCGCGTCGAAGGAGGAGGTTTCAAGGCACCAGTGGTTGATGCTCTGACGCGTCGCACTCGCTGACGACGCCCACGCAGGGATGTTCGCAGAGAGTTGCAGTACAGGCGAAATGCTGCGATTTGGCAGCAGCCGTCGTTCACATGTCAACTTCACTACAGTCAGATGGTCAGCGAAAGAAACGCCAGGACTGTTCGTGCTCTGCCACTTACCCAGTCGTGAGGGTTACCTGGTTCTCAGCAGTATTTGCATTTATTGAAGTCAAGAATCAACCCTCCAAACCCAACCCACACGAGTTCGTAACTTGCAAGAAGAGTGCACTTATGCGATATGAGGACTAACTTACAGGGTAACGTAAAAACAAAACAATTACAGTCATTTTACTGACCAGTTAGCCTAGATATCTCAGATGTATGACCAGATGTTGTCTATGCCAACCAAGAGGTTGCCATGCCAAGCATGCACAGCTCTGTGCCTCTGGTAACACACCAGAATGACTGGCAGAGACATGGTAGGAGCAGGTAGGAAGAAGAATGCATGATAAGATATCGACCCCAGCAAAAACGAATCAGCCTGTCCTTTCCAGCCAGAATGGGGCACAACAACCAGTGGTAGTTCGCATCAAATCGGATACTCCTAAAAACATGGACAGTACCGGTAAAGAACATACAATACCCCTTGGCATAGACAAAACATAAAAAAACACACCCCAATCCGTCCTCCTGTCACACACTCACTCAGAAGAAATCATTGAAGGAATCATTACACAAGATACACAGAAGCACTGTGCCGTGCGCATTCCATTACCTCCCTTGTTCTTCGTCAAGCGACCCCTCTACCCCCCTTGCCAGCTCATCGACATTCAAATCCCCCACACCCACACCGCCCTGCCCATCGCACTCCCCTCCGCCCTCCCCTTCCCCCTCCCCCTCCCCAGGCGCCACACTGAGAAACTGCTGCCAGAAGGAATCATTAAAGCCCCCCGTACCTTCCAGATCCAACCCATCCCCCTCCCCTATGCCTTCCCCTATTCCCTCCCCGCCCACTCCCTCCCCAACACCTCCTCCCCCAACCACACCTGCTTCTCCCGCCATCTCCCCTGCCCCTGCCCCCACCACGTCTCCTCGCGCTTTCCCACTCGACACTGCACCGCCTGCTGCACTGCTGCCTTCCCCCGCCCCGGACGCCTCTCCTGTCGCTACCCTGCTGCCTTCCACAGCCAACCCGAGCGGCACCTTCATCTCAGCAACAGGAGCAGAAACACCCGCCCCAGACACAGCCGCAGCAGTCGCAGCAGTTGCAGCAGCAGCCGGGCCTGTGTGGGCGAGGGAGGCGGCAGAGCCTGTGGCGCTAGCGTTGGCAGCGAGGGGAGCATTGGCAGCGAGATTAGCAGCGGAAGTAGCAGTGGCACTGGCAGAGGCGTGCGCAGGGGCAGAGGCGTGCAAGGGGTGGTATGGATGCAGCATGGGGGCGGTAGCAGCAGCGCCGTAAGGGGTGGGCATGCCTAAAGGGCTGATTTTTGCACCATGCACCAGCAGGCTCTGTGATAGGTCCATGCCAGGGGGAGGCGGGGGCAGCACGGGGGGGTACCCCGGGGGTGTGGGCACCATTGGCGCTGCAGCGGGGTATCCGCTTCCTGCTGCTGTCGCTGTCGCTGCTGCTGCTGCTGCGGCGGCGGCGGCTGCAGCGGCGGCGGCGGTGGGGTGGGAAGGGGGGTAGGTCATGGGGAGGGGAGTGAACGGCATGGGAAAGGGCCGGGGAATGCCAGGGTGAGGGGTGGGAACTGGTATTGCTGGCGGCGCTGCTGCGGGTGCAGTGGCGGCGGCAGTGCTGCCCACTAGGGCAGCAGCAGTGTGCGGGTGCGGTTGCGAGTGAGCGCTGGCAGTGGGTGCTGCTGCAGCAGCTGCAGTTGATGGAGCAGACGCAGCAGAAGCGGCAGCAGCGGCAGCAGCAACAGCGGCGGCAGTTGCAGCGGCAGTGGCAGCGGCGGTAGCCGCGGCAGTGGCAGGGGCAGCGGCAGCTGCGGTGGCAGCAGCGGTGGCCGCAGCAGGATAGGAGGAGCTGGGCGGAAAGACCCCCTCAGCAGGGACGTTCATTTCCGTGAGGGTTACAGTGGAAGGGCGCGGGGGGAGCGGTTGCGACGAGCCTGCGGCGGCGGCGGCAGCGGCGAGATCGTGGAGGAAAGGATCAAGCGACGCGTCGACCCCCAAGGCGCCCGCGTGCGGCATTCCCGGGTGCGTCATGCCTGGGTGGGTCATACTGGGGTGGGTCATTCCCGGGAAGAACTGCTCTAGAAGGAACATGGAAGGATCGGCTGCGGCAGGGGAGAAGGCGATAATCTGCCCCTCGGGGTGCAGACTGGGGGAGGAGGACCCCGACGGCGGGGAGTTTCCGCCGTCCTGCTTGGAGATCCGCCGCTTCTTGCGCCCCATGGCGGCGTGCGCGTGCGTGCGCTTGGCGTGGTCCGTCTGGTGCTGCATGAGCTGCGCGAGGAACGCGGGGTTCTGAACGGCCTTGGCGAGGAAAGTCATCATGTGCTGCTGCCGCTGCTCGTTCATCGCCACGCGCTGCTCCATCACCTGCATCGTGCTCGCCTGCTGCTGCTGCTGCTGCCGCAGTCGCACGAGTTCAAGCATGAGGACATTCTTGTCGCGCTTTAATCTCTCCACCTCGCCTTCTAGGCCGAACTTGCCGACCTCGACTAGACTGGGCGACGCGGGGACGGGGAGCGCGCCGTGGAGCGACGCGGGGGAGTGTGGGTGGCCGTGGGGGAGGGAGGAGTTCGTCGCTGCGGCTCCCGTCTGCGACGCGGGCTTGCGACGCTGGATTGTGCGAAGGAGGTGTCGCTGGCCTCGCAGGAAACCCTCGTTCGCGAACTCCCATCGGTCTGGATCCACCTTGCGAAACCCCTGGGTAACATTAACGAAGCGGGCAGTGAGGAGAATGAACAAACTTTCAGAAAAAAACTGGACGGGAATACAAGCAGGAGCAGTCTACAGGGACAAACTGCCATTGCTTTGGACCACGAATAGTAAGATGACGGGGAAGGAGCTACCCAGTAACAAGGAATCAAATGGAGTATATCGGGGAAAAAAAAGAAAAATCAAGTCGAATGCACGATTAGGCAAGAGAAGGTAAGCCGTACGTAGGTGTTTAATTGGCGGACGAAGCTAGAGAAGTTGTTGTGCTTAAAGTACTTGGGCAGGAGGTCTCTGGCGAACTCGGGAGGGTTCCACACGACGAAACTGTTGTTACCACTACTCCACGAAACTACATGGTCCGTCGTCGGGTCTTCTACCATATCGTACGTCTTTATTAAAAACGGCGGCGGTTGGTTGGCCTGGTTTCCCTCCATTGCTCCATTCATCTTCCCGTTACCCGGTCCTACTGAACTCTGCTGGTTGCTTGCAAACGAGCCCGCAAGCGGCGGTCTGCTAGGTTGCTGCACAGTCGTCGCGAGGCCTATCGGACCTTCCACGCTTATCGCAGACGCGACCATCGCTGAACCTCACAGCAGCTAAGCCGCGAATCGTGACAATAAGAAGGAAAAAATAGGAAAGCCGTTTTGCCAACCATGGCCTCATAGAAAAGCAACACAGTTCCGCAGCTTGAAGGGAGGGAGGCGGTGAGCGTTCAGCGCTGCAGACGTCCCAGGACCGTGTCACAGGACCAGCGTTGCCTTGAGAGTAGGTCACTGTAACCTTCTCCAACCCAGAACTAAATCAACATGAGCCACAGAATGCAGAGCGTACTCAACAGAAAGACAGTGGGTGGTTGCTGTGGAAAAGGCCAGCGAGATACAATCCATGTCGGCAGGCTGCTGCATCAAACCCTAATCTCGTCACCTTGAGGGAAGAATCCATGTCGGACCTACTGGCCTGCTCCGTCGCTGTCCCTGCTGACAAACTCAGACAGGCTTGGGAGCCCTTGTGCTTTGTGGAGGTTCGACAAGCCGCTGCTACGGAGGGCCAGAAAAGCCAGTGGCGGGTGGAGGTTTTGGAGTTTCCGAAGCAACGATTCTGGTCTTCACAGCCTTGGTAGGTTCGCCAAGGGTGACCGAAACTGCCAGGTTGTGAAACGAGCCTACGAGAGCCACAAACTGGAGACGAGCAAAGTCTGGTACGAATACGGACAGTGATTGGTTGACGTAGAAAAGCTAGGGATATGCTTTTGCCTTTTTCGCGAAAATGCGTGAAGGCTGGATTTCGGTCGCACAAGAACCCCACGCTTGTCCTCGCCATAGAAGACAGAAGTACGTTTTCAAGACGTATTCAAGTCAAGGAATTCAGGTTAGGTGCAAGATCCAGGAACCCTGACTCAAAGCATGGAGGTGAGAAGAAAAGTTGCACATCAAAGCCAACCAGCTGTGTCCATATAATCATAGCATACTAAATCTTAGCTAGCTACATGCCACGGTTAGTAGTAAGGGGGTGGTTCATGAGGTGCTCTAAGCCACCGTACTGCAACATATCAAGCTTACAGGAAGATGCTACACCATGTTCAACCTCCATTCAGCAAGGAGGGCAGGAGAGGGTACCAACGAGATGGTAATGGTAAGACAACTTATCCAATAACACAAATGTACAATAGTGCCAAGGATCTAATCTGCTCTGTACAGAACCGGATCCCATGCGATATAAAAACAAGCCCTCCTCAGCATTGCGGGATGAAGCAGAGCGATCTCCATATGCCATACGCATCCACTCGTCCACCCCCATTCTGTTCCTTCCTGATTCAGCCTTGCTTGCCTTCCATCGTGCTCACCTCCCACTGCTGACCCGCCTGCAAGTGACACGCACAATGTCATGCCACACCATGGCATGCCACGCACAATATCATGCCACACCATTGCATGCCACACCATGGCATGCCACACCATGTCATGCCACACCATGGCATGCCACACCATGGCATGCCACACCATGTCATGCCACACCCAGCACTCAAAGCCATGACTCTCACACCATTGCATGCCACAAAATGACATACGGTACCACAGTTGGAGAAACCATGCCCGCTGAATCATGACAAACCGTATGACACCACAAATCAACTTACCACAGAACAAGAAATCACACTACAATATCATGCCAATGGCACGCCACACTACAGCATACCACACAACAGCAAACCACACTATAGAATACCACACAACAGCAAACCAAACTATAGCATACCACACTGTAGCATGCCACAATACTGCACACCACTCTATTGTATACAACACTACAGCACACCACAATATAGCATACCACAATACAGCACGCCACATAAAAAAACACCACACTATAGCATACCACACTAAAGAACAGCACACCACAATATAGCACACCACACTATAGCACACCACAATATAGCACACCACAGAAAACAGCACACTGAAGCATACCACACAATAGCACAGCAAACCACACTTTAGCACACCACACTTTAGCACACCACACTATAACACACCACACTTTAACACACCACACTTTAGCACACCGCACTATAGCACGCCACACTAGCTTCAGCACCCTTCCCTTCCACCGACTGTCATGAAAGACAGGCCAATCACTCGCTCACACTCACCCACTTTGGGGGAATCAGCCCCCATCCATCTCTCCCATTCACCCTCTTAGGGGTTTCGGGTTTCGGCCCCTTCTCTCCCACTCACCCACCCAAGGGGTTTCGGCCCCTTCTCTCCCACTCACTCACCCAAGGGGTTTCAGCCCCTTCTCTCCCACTCGCCCTCCCAAGGGGTTTCAGCCCCTCCTCACCTTCACTTGCCAGCAGTAGGAGCAGCAGAAAGCCCACTTTCTTAAGGAAACAGCACCCCCAGAGGCTGTGCTTGTCGGGCGAAGTGTGGTAGTGGAAAATTGCTTCCAGCCCAAGACTCAAATTCCACCCCTGACGTATCCAGAGCTGACGCGAACCAGAGCCGCCGGCCGGTCGGCTCTGATGGTGTCCATTAGGCCTTAACGTCAGATTGGTTACTTGAGCACCGAGTGCCGTGCCGCGCAGATTCCACCCACCACACCCCACCACCACAAAGCACAACCCCAGGAGATGCTGCCCCTAAGGCAGTGAACTCCCCGCTTGCTCCCATGCTCCCCACCCACCCACCCCACACTTCACCCCATGCCTACTCACCTGTACCTACCACAGCCGTGCAGAGCGCCATGATGCTGAGGCTGCTGGGAAGTGGAGAGAGAAGGGGGGATTAGGGGAGGGAGAGACTCCTCAGTGGTCCAGGCAGGGTGCTGCTGGGAGGGAAGGGAGAAGGGAGAGAGGAGGAGGTGAGTGAGGGGGTGGACTCCACTCCAGTGCTCCCACCTTCAGCCTGCAGGAGTTAAAGGGAGGGAGAGAGAGAGGGGAGGGAATCAGATCACCACACCTCACCTGGTACCTTACTAAACCTTTTACCACACCTCGCTCACACCACGCCTAGCCTAGTCTCCTGCCCAGCCCCCCACCCCCCCACTGCTGCTGCGCTGCTGCTTCTGCTGCTGCAACTGCTGCTGTCGGTCTGCTACTCTGCTTCCTCTGCTGCACTCTTCTCTCGATGCCAAATGACCTGGTGGCGGGCAGATAGGGGGGGAGGGGGGCAGGAGAGAAAGGGCAGAAGGTGACGTGAACAGAAACACTAAAGTCAACACAGAAACGCATAAGCTGACAAAGACAACAAGGGCTAAATGCAGAGAGAACCGAAGCAACAAATGCACTCTAAGGAGGGAGGTAACGCACCTTGAGAGGCCAGCCCACCCCAATACTCTCCCTTGTGGCACCAACTGCAAGCTGCTGCAGTGCTGCCGCCCTCCCATCCCATCCCCGTGGGTTACCTGCACCTGAGAGGGTTACCTGCACCTGAGAGGGTTACCTGCACCTGAGAGGGTTACCTGCACCTGAGAGGGTTACCTGCACCTGAGAGGGTTACCTGCACCTGAGAGGGTTACCTGCACCTGAGGGGCTTACCTGAAGAGTGGGGGTGTGTAGCATGTGAACCGGGCCCAAGCAGTGGCGAGTATTCAGGGATAAAACACAGAAGCCCATGCGAAAACGACATGAGTAATTCAGCATGAGCAGTGAGCAGCAGGCAAGAGTGAGTCCAGGGAGGCGAAAGCACTTAGCTGGCAGCTGAAGAGCCGCCTCCCTGGAGATGCCGCCTTCCCCCTCCCTCCCCTCCCCTGCTGCACCAGTGCTCCCTGCTGCTGATGCTGCCACAACTGGTCCCGTCAGATGCCTCTGCTGCATTGCCAGCGACCTGGAGGGGGGCAGAACGGAAGGGAAGGCCAGGAGGGTAGTCAGTGCAGGCCTTGAAACAGGCAAGGGCGAATCAAAGGGATGAGCGCAAGAGGGCAACTTAGCAGAAAACGAGTGCAGCGGGAAAGAGAGGTACGAGACTTACCTTGAGAGGCCAAGCCCATCCCAATACTCTCCCTTGCTGCAGTGGGATTGCCATGCTGCAGTGCTGCCTCCCTCCCGTCCCCACGAGTCCCTGCACGGCCACAGGGGAGGGGCGTGGGGAAGCGTCGGTGTTGACCCCAACGCCCCTCCCCTCCACCTGCAATGCACACACACGGCAGTGGTCAGTATGCATGGCATGGGCGCAACACAAGCCAGAGAGTGGAAACTGCCAAATGTGGAAGAGAAAGGGAGGGCCACTGGTTGAGGCAAGGCCACACGCCACAGACGCCAAGGGAACCTGCACCTGACGGGGGGACTTGCACCTGAGGGGGGGACCTGCACCTGAGAGGGTTACCTGCACTGCACCTGAGGAGATACCTGAAGTGCGGGGGTCTGTGGCATGTGAACCGCGCTGGACCAGTGGCATTGCTTCAAAGGGAAGAGCATACAACCAGCAAACGAAATGACATGCAAAGAAGGTGAGGGCATGGAGGAGGGTGACTTAGCTGGTGGCGTGAGGGCGAGCTCAAGGCAGCTGCAGCACCACCAGCTGCCTCCCTCCACGGCAGCCCTCCTCCCAGCCTTCCCGTGTGCGCCCCTGCACGGCCACAGGGGAGGGGCGTGAGGGAGCATCGGTGTTGACCCCACACCCCTCCCCGCCACATGCAATGGGCACACACAGAGCTAGTCAGAGCGCAGTGGTGGGAGCAAGTTGAATGGGATAATGTGACTTGAAATGCAGCGCAAGGGACGGGAGGAGGAGCCACTGGTGGAGGCACGGCCACAAGCTGCAGACCCAAGGGCACCTGAAATAGAACCTGAGGGGTATACCTGCACCTTAGAGGGTTACCTGAAGGAGGGGTCTGTGGCATGTGAACCGCTCAACCAATGGCAGTGTTTCGAAGGGAAGGGCGAAAGCACAACCGGCAAACGAACTGGCAGCAAAGAAGCAACAAGGCATGATGTGGCGGGCAAGGGTGAGGGCATGGAAGTGGGTGACTTAGCTGATAGCGTGAGGGCGAGCTCAAGGCAGCTGCAGCAACACCAGCTGCCTCCCTCCGCAGCAGCCCTCCTCCAGGTGCCTCCTCCCTGCACGGCCACAGGGGAGGGGCGTGAGGGAGTTTCGGTGTTGACCCCACACCCCTCCCCGCCACCTGCAACGCGCACACACAGAGCTAGTCAGAGCGCGGTGGTGGGAGCAAGTTGAATGGGATAATGTGACTCGAAATGCAGCGCAAGGGACGGGAGGAAGAACCACTGGTGGAGGCACGGCCACAAGCTGCAGACCCAAGGGCACCTGAAAAAATACCTGACGGGTGTACCTGCACCTGAGGGAATTACCTGAAGCAAGGGGGTCTGTAGCATGTGAGCAGTACTCAACCAGTGGCGTTGTTTCAAGAAGACAGTGCAACAGCAGATGAAACGAAACAAATGGTATGGCAGGCAAGGGCGCGGGCATGGAGGAACAGTACTTAGCTGATTGTGTGGTGCAGGCGGAGGGGGTGCTTCAATGGAGAGTGGGCAGGGCGAGCGTGGCTTGAAGGGACGGACCTGCGAGGCAGAGGCGGGAGAGAGAGAGAGAGATAGAGAGATAGTAAGGGGCAGGTGGGAGGGAGTGACTCTTTCAAACGAGAAGACAGGCAGCAGTGTGAGTGCAAAAAAGACAGTGCATGTGATGCTAACCACAACCCCACAAGAGCCGCTACCAACCTGAACCTGAACATGCACCTGAACCTGAACCTGAGGGGGAGTGGGCTCGAGTGGAGTGTGGTGGCAGGAGCGATACTGCAACCTCAACCGTTGATGAGGCCGGCGCAGCTGCCCCGCTGCCTGCGCTCCTGCTGCCCGCCCTGGTGCTCCCCTCGCCTGCTGCTCGCCTGCTGCAACCCCCCTGGCTTGTGAGGGCCTGGCAGGGAGGGATGGGAGGGCAGGGAGGGGAGGGAGGGCATGGGGGAAAGGAAAGGCAGCCGAAAGTAAGAGGGTGCAACAGCAGATGAAACGAAACAAGTCAGCATGGGGAGAAGAGCAAGCAGCAGCATGAGAGCACGAGGGAAAAGAGGCTCACCTTGTTCCAGACGACCCCATCCCGATACTCTCCCATCCCATCCCAGCCGAGTGGAGTGCTGCCCCCCTCCCCTCCCACCACTGCCACTCCCGTGTGAGCGACCTGCTGGGACGGGAGGGGGCGGGTTGGGACAGAGAGAGGAAGGGAGGAGGGGGGAAAGAAAACGGGGAAGTGAAGGGGGGGCAGAGGAGTGGGGAGAGCAGTGAGGAAAGAAGCCAAGACAAGTGAAAGTGAAGAGTGCAGCAAACGCAAGCATGATGCGTGCATGAATGGACTGCTGCAGTGGCACACCCAAGAGACCTCGTACCAGCTGAACAAAACTAAAACAAATACCTGAGGCTGTACCAAGAAAAAAATAACTACTACCTTGGGGGAGGGAGGTCTAATGGGTGTGACAAAGAGCAGTGTAAAAGGGAGTGCAATGCATGGTGCAAGCATGACAAGCAAAGCAACACAGTGAGAGGGTTGGGAAAAGAGTGGAAGGGCGGGGTACTTAGCTGAAGGTGGGTTGGGTGGAGAGCAGCTGCTGCCTGTGCACTCCATGTCCCTCGCCACTGCCACTGCCGTGTGATTGACCTGCTGGGAGGAGGGGGGACGTTTGGATCAGAGAAAGGGAGGGAGGGGGGGGAGGAGAGGACAGGGTATGAAGGGGAAGCGGAGGAGTGGGGAGGGTGGTGAGTCAAGAAGCAAAAGCGAGTGAGTAAAACATGAGCAAAGAGTGCGGTAAGTGTAACGATGCTGTGTGTATGAATGGGCTGCTGCAGGGCACACCCAAGAGACCTCGTACCATCTGAACCTGACTAAACCTAATACCTGAACCTGCTACCTTGAGGGAGGGAGGTCTCTTGAGTGTGACAGAGGGCAGTAGTGAAGCGAGTTTGATGCATGGTGCAAATGCAAACAAGACATGAAAGCAACACAAGTGCGAGGGTTGCGAGAAGAGAGGCAGCGAGGGTACTTAGCTGTGGGGCGTTGGGTGTAGAGCACCTGCTGCTCCCCATGCAGCACTGCGCCGCGTTGCTTCTCCGCGGATTCGCCTCAACGGTGCAGAGCGTAACGATTAGATTCTGCACATTCAGACGCGAGACATGAATCAGAAAAGTATTTCGCTACGAAGGTTCCTAGAAGCAGTTCACGTGGTTAATCTGAACATTCGGACAATAGCAGCGTACCTGATGCAGGGAAATCGCGGTTCGAGGCTGAAACAACCATCCATGCAGCAATCCGCATCGGGTGGACGAGCGACAGCGACGCGATTCTGATTTAGCGCGTCGCGAGCTTCAAAGTTGGATGCGGTAATGAGCCGAGATCGTGGAGGTCGCAGCAGGGGGGTCGATGTCTGGTAAAGGTTGAAGCTTTCGAAAGCGTTGCTGCTGCTGACGGCGGAAACTGCTGACGGACGGCCGAAACTGTTGATAGCGTGCGGACATCCCTTCTAACTTCGAAGATCGTTACTGCTGACGGCGGAAATTGCTGACGACGGGAAATTGCTGATGGACGGCCGAAACTGTTGAAAACGTCCGGACATCCCTTCTAACCACGAAAATCGTTTTTGCTGACGGAGAAATCGTTGCTTCTGACAGCGAAATTTGCGATGCCGGAGGACAATTGCTTCCGACCGAAATTTCCGCTGACGGCTGGCCTGATTGTTGCCGACGTTGAAACACGAAGCTGCTGACGACGACAGTCGTTTCTGCTTGCGAAAACTGCTTTCGACGATGACATCGAAGCTAACGGAGAAAAGCGTTGCCGCTGACGGAGATAACGGTTCTGTTAACTAGAGAGATCGTTGCTGACGATGGAGTCCGTTTCCAGCGTCGAAACTCGTCCCTGAAGGTTGCAAGCGGCTCCACAGTCTCTGTTGATGACGCATAGAGTTGGCTAGGAAAACGCCGGATAATTCTGCGTGGACGCTATGAATGATTTTCCACATAATGCCGGTAATGTGAGAGGAGAACAGAGGTGAAGCGGCGAAAACGGAGAGCAGGAAAAGGGTGGAGAAAACAAGAATTGAGGCAACAGATTGCACTTGGCTCTGCTCTCTGCAGCACCCGCTGCTGCTTGCCCTGCTGTGCCTTGGCTGCATGGGTTGAGATTTTGGAAATTGTTAGAAACGCAAGGGTTCGGATCGGTATAACAGCTTTCAGAAAGGTTCTTTGTGACTGGTTTGTTCCTGTCCATCGCAGGAAGGGTTCAGCCCACCACAGCCCAGAAAGGATTCAGCCAATCCCGAGGTTGGACTCGGGGCGGAAGAAGAGGCCCCACCGACATGATGTATGGATCATGCTGTGCCGCAAAAGCGCGCGAAGTAGAGGCGGAAAGATGGTTTTGCGGGAAGGATGACGAACCAGAAGGTAGCAGAGTGAATTCGGTTTGCGAACCTTTTCTCTATCGCATAGTGGGGATTTGAGCAGATTTCTGGGACATGGTAATATTTCGTGCACATCGTGAATGTCGCCAACCCGCTTGAGGGCAACGGTTGGCAGGAGCTGACACATGTTGGAACTTCCGCCACATGGAGATTTTTGCCGAGCATTTCCCCAGCTTCCGGAATCCGGATCCCACAAACCAACGGATAGGCTGCGGAATGCGCACTTTTGGGTTTTTTTGCGGGAATCTCGCGCCAAAGGCTTTAAGATTACCAGAAGCGGCTGAGCGACGATGTGATCCAACGGGCGGAGTAGCTTCGCGCCGAGATGGGCAGAATCTTGCTGATTGCGCCAGATAAGCTCACCGACAATGCCAAGCCTGCGTCCACCACCCGCGCAACTCCAACCTCCGCTTCTCCCCTCGCGCAGAACTCTCTTCAGTCGTCTTAGTCGCCCAGCCATACCACACAACGCTCGCCCGTCGCAACCAGCTCCACACACTCCTTCGCAATTTCGCTATCGTAGTCGCACAGAAACTCAAGCAGTCTCTTTGGAGATTCAAGCGACCATTCCAATCGCCGGCGATTGTTATTGCTGGCGATTGTTTCTTGCTGCGACTTTTGCTACTCGGTTCTCGCTGGAAGCCAATCGCCAGCAACAATCCCTGTCTCTTGTTCTACAACTGTACTCCCTGCGAGTTCCTCGGCTCATTGACGCAATTTCTCAGCGAGACGACGGCCTGATAGTCGATTCTACTCGCTAGTGACGATAGTCGACGCCTTTCGTGACGGTTTCTCGCTGCGCGAGTGAATCCAAAGACGGCTACGGTTCGTCATTCGTGTGGCGATTCCTTTCTGGCGAATAGAGCATCTTGCGGCGACGACTTCTAACGCTAGTCAGACTTCTTCTCGTCAGCGATGTTGCGCGGCGATTCTTCTTGCTGGCGATCTGCTTCGTATTACTCCCCCACGATGATAGTCGACGCGTACGGCGAACCTTCTCGCTGGCGACGGTTCTTCTCTCGTGCGACGACGATTCTTTTCCGGCTATCTAGCTTCTTGCGGGCGACGGCATTCCACGTTGGTCGCAATTCTTCTCGCCGGCGACGATGCTCAACGCTAGCGACGGTTCGTCTAGCTCGCTACGATTGTTTCTCGTCGCAGACGGCTCTTCTCGCTGGCGAGCTCCCGCGAGGCTGCGATTCCAGTCGGCGACGTGCAGCGATTCCAGTCGGCGACGTGCAGCGATGCCAGTCGGCGACGTGCAGCAATGCCAGTCGGCGACGTTCTGCGAGTCCAGTCGGCGACGTACTGCGATTCCAGTCGGCGACGTACTGCGATTCCAGTCGACGACGTACTGCGATTCCAGTCGGCGACGTCCAGCGATGCCAGTCGGCGACGTCCAGCGATGCCAGTCGGCGACGTGCAGCGATTCCAGTAGGCGACGTGCAGCGATTCCAGTAGGCGACGTCCAGCGATGCCAACGCGGTGAAGCTGACCAGGTTGGTTTGCGCGGTTCCCTTCAGTTGACTTGTCGCCCATCGTTTTACTCATCGTTTCGCTCATGGTATGGTAACAGGTTTGGTATGGAGATCTGATCCCCTCCTCTCTTTCTTCCTCCCCACCCCTCTTTGCAGCCTGAGGATGGAGGGAGCACTGGAGCAAGGGCGGGACAGAGGCATCTCTCTTTTCATCCTCACCTACCCCTCCCCTTCTCCCTCCCGCTGCCCCCCTCCCCACTCTCCAGCACGTTCGAGCAGCCTGAGGGAGAGAGGGAGCAAGGGCGGGACAGAGCCGTCACACTAACCCCCCCCCTTCCCCCCCTTCCTCCTCCCTCCCCACTTCCCAACACCCTGAGGCGACATGGTGCTCTGCATGGCTGTGGTAGGTAAAGGTAAGAGGCATGGGGTGAAGGGGAGAGTGGGGAGGCGGTGGGAAGCATGGGAGCAAGTGGGCAGGTCACTCTCTCAGGGGTAGCATCCTCTAGGGATGTGCCTTGCGGGTCGGGGTGTGGTGGGTGAAATCTGCGCGGCACGGCACTCGGTGCTCAAGTAACTAACCTGACGTTAAGGCTTAATGGGCACCGTCAGAGTCGACCGGCCGGCGGCTCTGGTTCGCGTCAGCTCTAGCTACGTCAGGGGTGGGATTTGAGTCTTGGGCTGGAAGCAATTTTCCACTGCCACTACTCGCCCTTCAAGGCACAGCCCCTGGGGGTGCTGTTTCCGAAGGGGAGTGGGCTGTCTGCTGCTCCTACTGCTGGCAGGTAAGGTGGGGAGGGGATGGGTGGGCTGGGTGGTGATGGTGATGATGGGGCGATGGTGGTGAGAGGTAGTGGGGTTGGCGGTGGCATATGATGAGCCATATGGCACTGATGCCACCCTTAAGCATGGAAGCATGATGCTCATGCTTGGCTGGTTAGGGGCACATGACGAGTTGCACTGATGCCACCCTTAAGCATGGAAGCATGATGCTCATGCTTGGCTGGCTGGGGGCACATGACGAGTTGCACTGAATGCCACCCTTAAGCATGGAAGCATGATGCTCATGCTTGGCTGGTTGGGGGTGTTAGTGTTAGCCTTCAATCTCACACTTTGTACTTTGTATTTTTTATATCCTAGAGTAGTGTAGTTTGCACATTGTGTTTGGTTGGGTGTACACCTACATCCCAACCAA